CACATTAAAAAAATTAGAAGATACTCAGGAGTTGTACGCGCTTAAGAGATTAACATAAATGTCTCTGTTTAGTGAGGCAAATGTGGATCAGATTTGTGTAAAATACAAAATTTGTGAAAGCTGTGAGGGTTGTATCTTGCAAGGCTAATCAAAACCATAACTGTTCCGTGTTCAGTTCTGTAGACAGATTTATTGTATTTGTTTGAATCATGTTTCCAGTAGAGAAATGACATATTCTATGGTATAGAAGGCGCACAGATCAGTCTACCTATGGCTAACTATATAAAGTGCATAGGAGAGTGCACAGCATTTTCTTTTGAAAATTGATAGGAGGAAAGGAGCTGGCTTTCTTAAATAAGTTATGGATAGACACTTTAATAGTAGAGATCGATTACATCAAAAAACAGGGATGAGAAAAAATTATTAATGGTTCTGTAGTTAACTCTTGGTTTTGAAGTGAGAGCACTTGACTGGAACAAAGCTGCACAAAGAGATATCCCTACATAAAGCTGTGGCTTACACAGATGGTTTCCCAAGGCTGGGGCAAACCTACTTTGTGGCTTGTCTGTCTTTTATTGTGGCTGCAGGATACTGAGTTTCATGTTTGCTGTTGAAATAATTGGATTTCAGAAAAATAATAAACACTTTTCTCTCCTGGTACACTGCTAAATAACAGCCTTTGTTCAGTACTTGATATGAAAATTGTGTAGTCTTTTTCTGTGGCGATAGGCAACCAGAGATACAGGGATGAGAAAATGCAGAAAGTCTATTGGCTAGTTCAGGTTGAGAAGTGGTGTGTGAGGCTCAGAAGAAAGCAAAAAATCTCCATAATCTATCCCCTTTAAAAATTGCTGTTGCACAAGATACTAGCTCATTTGTATTTTGAGAACCCATCTTTATGATACTTTTTTTTTTTTTTTTTTTTTTTTTTTTTTCCCCCATGCCAGGCAAAATAGCTTTTTAAAATTCCCTTGGATTTCTCAGTCCTTTCAGTAATGAACACTGAATCCTGCTAGACACTTTAAAAGTAATTCTCCAGGCAAACATATTAGGAATGCAGCAGACAAAAAGGCTAGGCTTGCTCTTGAGAGAGCAATTCCAAAGATGCTTCTAAAAACCAGTGGTATTTAGATGCAACATATGTGTTGCTGCCAAGTAACACAATGAGAAAAAGATTTAAAGTAAGAGGAAACATTATTGATGTAAACTGTCTCCCTTTTCTTGTTATGATTCTTTCCCAGCTTTCCAGCCCCAACTTTTGAAAAGACTCTTAAATTCTCCCAACAGTGATTTTCAGTGCATTGCAGAGTATAATCATGTAGATGAACTCTGTTAAAGCAGAGGCTGGCTGAGCTCAGGCAGGTGCACTAGGTATGGGGCTTGAATTTAGCAATCTTAAAAGTAGTGATGTAGTGGAGGGCAATGATAAATAATAATACTGAGTGGAGAAGAAGTCTGGAAAAAGCAGGGCTTTTGGATACGGCAGGTATCAAATCAGTCTTAAGTAACCTTCTCAAGAGCTTTCTGCTTTTATCTCTAAGTTAGATGAATATGGAAGATCACATTTTTAAATGTGGGCTTTGCTTTCAAATATTTCTTCATGAATTTATTTTTAATTGAAACTGTTGAATACTTTCTTATACTTGAAGTTAATTTTGCATTCTTTTAAGATATTCAGAGTAATTTCCTGTGAGAAAATAAAATTTTTTATCTCTGCTTCTGGGCAGAAATAGTAGAAGACCTTCTATTATGCTTCTGCAGTGGTTGTGCAAAGCTAGGGTAGGTACGTGAAAAAATGAGCATGATCCATAAGGATTCCTCTGCCATTTTATTCTCTGTTGTGTAGATAGTGTCCTCACTTTAAAGATGTCTGAATACTTCTGAGATCACACATCAAACATGTTTCTTTTTTCTCTTGCATTAAGAAGGAAGGTTCTCTTGATTTCATGGTTATGAATTGTTAAGCATAATTGGCATTAAAAGGATGCCTGCAGTGTACCAAGAAAAAAAAAAAGGTAGAATAAGTATTGAAAGATACTATATGTCTTACCTCAAACATATCACCTTCTATTGATATTAGAAATATTGCATTTATGTAACTGTAAGGAATATAAATTCTTGGTAAGTATATGTGTTGTGATAAAGGATGAGTTACAGTAGGAGTCATCAAAACTGGTGTTTTTTGATAAATTCACTGGTGTGCAATTATAGCTTGAGCATACAAATAATTAAATAAGAGCCTTCACTATGTGTTTTAATGTTAATTATTCTTAAGGCTGAAGATGATATGATGATGAAATAAAGATTCTGTGAAATGCTAGAAAATGCTTGCTCTTCATTTGCGTCAATTTGAACAAATTTAATGTACATAGGATCCCATTTACATCTATCTAGTCTTGACTTTTCTGTGATTCAGAGGACACAGTGTCACTGTTTCACTGCTGAGTTTAATGCCTGTCTTTAAGACGGATGTTCCTGGAGGAGAAACAAAAGTTTGTCTTGGTTGATAATTTCAGTGCAGTTCTTTGAAGCATGAGTAACTAATACCTAATTAAACTGCTCACACAGTCTGAACAAATGAAAAAGAAATACTACTTTTTCAGATAACCTTAAAGACACGATTTCTCCTCTAGTGACTTCTACTCGGGGAAATCAATGCAGTGGTGATGCAGAAGCTCTTTCCATAATACCTCATTATCTGAATGCTCTACAGTAGCTCCTGTACAGTATGGAAGACTGTGTGTTTGGAAATCCTGGCTGTATCTAGTCACAGCCATGGGAAAAGTATAATTTCAGTCCTGCTCCTTTAATTTGAAGCCAGAGGTATATTCCTTGTCTACAATAAAATTATTCTGATGGTGAAATCTGATTTTGCTACATGTAGAGCAGACTCTTACAAAATGTTGGGAGAATGTAGACTAATAATTAGTAGTGGAACTGAAAATTCTTGAAGTATTTCTGTTTTGCTCTTCTAATAACTTCAGCTGTTTTAATTTGCTCTGGTTGTGTATTAAGCCACATGCTTTGTGTTTTGCCTTTCTTATGTGAAAGCCTAACAAGAATTCTGATTAAGTTCTATTTCATATCTCTGAGCATATATTAACTAAAATACGCTTTGAGCCAGACAGGACAGAGTAAATAAGCTGTGTTGTTTCTTATGACCAGTACTGCTCTAGGCACTGTTTTTTAAACATTTCTGGCCACTAGGAAGATAGATCATTTCTTATCACCACACTTGTGATGACATGTAGTGAATCATTCTGTGTGATATGAAAATTAGGTCACAAGTAGCCTCTTGTTACTCTTACAAGAGTGCTCTACAATGTTTTTATGATCTGTAGGGATATACTCTTTTACTGACGAGCATTCGCACTAATGTCAGGAGAGCTCTTTAGAGACAGAAAGGACTGTTGCACTCAGTTTCTTTGCAAAGTTAAAACCTTAAAAGGTTTTAAGCAAGTAGGAAGCTCTTCACCTAGCATTGTTCCTGGTAGAGAAGAAAAAATAGGAATAGGGAAAAAAAAGAAGACGAAATAAAATATCTGTTCAGAGCTGGGGACATGGGAGGATATTTTCCTTATCTCCAGGAAATGTATATGTCTCATGTTTGAATACTTAGGGTAATCTTACTTTTGCCTTAATTTGATGGATTCTTTGGTAAACTGAGATCTGGGTAACCTGAAGCATTTACTAGGTCAAAACAATTAACTGTAGCTTTAATTACCTCTCCTGAGAATTTTTTTCTCAAACTACAAGTATCTCCACTGAGCAATCATGTTTAACAAGGCCAAAATGAGAAGAGTAACTGTAAGCCTTTGATAGTCAAACACATGAAGACTTATGCTTAGAACAAAGGATATTTTATTTATAGATGTATAACAAAAGAGGTGACTTGCTACAGTATAAAAGAAAAAAATCTTTCAGATAGTTTTCTCTTTTTTTTTTTCAAAATTTTAATGAAACAACAGAATATAGGAGTCATTGTTACTTCCCGATTCATGATTTAGAGCAGAATTATTTGATGAAGACATCTGATATGTGGAAGTGAAGTGTACAACTTTTCTTAAGTCTAAGGTATGACTCAGGGGAGAGCTATAGAAAATGAGTCAGTCCTTCTGAGCCTTGAATGCCTAACTTCATGTTGTAACTGTTGAAAGTTTAGAGAAAACACAGGAGTGAATTAGTTACTGGCAACAGCTTAGAATTTAAAAAAAAAAAAAAAAAAAAAAAAAAGGTATATAGTTCTTTCAAGAGGATTGATGCACTTTATAAAAATGATATTATTTTCCTTTTGCATGTACATGTCATAAGAGGGCCTGTATAATGTAATTTGTTGACGTTCGGTGAGTAAAGTGTATTCCTTCCATGTTAGAAAGAACTGCTGTAGTTTGGCAAATAAACTTTATATGATCTTTTTTAATTCAACAGACAGGTGTTTGTCTTCCAGTCTCCAGATTTTTACTTATGAGAAAAAAAAAAAAAAGCTATACAATTCAACCAGCAACTAATTATCCTAATTGTATGTATATATAAAAGACTCATTTGTAAGTGTCATTACTATGTGGGGAAAGAAGGCATCCATTTTTTCATAAAATCCCCTAATGTTTGCTGAAGATATTATTGCAAAATTCTGTTTTCTTTCCTGTATTATTTCATCCTTTGTTTTCAACTCATCTGATGGAATCTTTTCATATATAAAACAACAGCAAAAAAATCAGCAGGTTTATCTGAATTCAAGTCCCTAGTGTTACTTTGAAGTTAGATTGATTTTATCTTCCTTCCCTGTTTTCCTATTTTATGTAGAACCTGAGAATGGCACCAGGCTGAAGCTATTTCTAGGATGTAGAGATACTGTCTGTGTGTTTCTTTTCAAGTCTATCCAACAGAAATTCATTTTTCTTTTCCAGCTAGTACATCTAGGGACTTCAGCACAGAATAGACAGCATAAGTGTAAGAAACAGAGCATATCTTTAAGCCACTATCTGTCTTCTGAATGGCAGGCAATGGAACACTGATTGGAGCATCTGCAAACGTTGTTTGTGCAGGAATTGCTGAACAGCATGGCTATGGCTTCTCCTTCATGGAATTCTTCAGGTAAACTTTTAAACTTTTCTATTTAAATCTGTCTTTTACTTTCTTCATGCAAACAATTGAGCCTCCAGTGAGAAAATAAGTGGGAAAAGTCTGTTAAATAGACCTGCTTTTCTGACAGGTTTTGGCCACTGAATTGTGAGCAGGAGTCTGATCACATAGTTTTTATTTAATGTGGATAGAATGTATAAAGATGTTGTGATAACGTGTGGTGGAAACCCCAGGAGAAACTAAACTTCAGAAATCCCTGCTTTGATTACCCTCAATCTTATCTTCAACACTCCAGTTTTTCTTCACAATTTTCTTTATTTTAGTTCATATTCTCTATTAGCTTTCCTTTCTATTGTTTATCTCAGAGCCTTCAAACCTTTTTGACTAATGTGATTAATCATATGGGAATGTCTGGAAAAGAGCCAGTGATAAGATAATGCTTACAGCACACTTTAACTCTCTTCCCATAGCCCTCTGATAGTATATTTTAGAAAGACAGAATACCCTTCAAATCAAATGCTTGATTTTCAGGACCTTTGATACTGCATTACAGTCTTACATAATACAAACTGATAAATAACAGACTTGGATTTATAAACAACAAAAGATGGTGATAAAACAATAATGGTGTTGTTTGGGGCTGCTCTGCTCATATTTCACAGATATTCAATCTGTCATTTTAGGATGTAATTTGCTTTTAATATTAAGTTTCTTCAGCGGAGGTTCAGGTTGGACATTAGGAAATACTGCTCCAAGAAAGTGGTTAAGCACTGTAATAGTCTGTCCAGAGATATGGTGGACTCACTGTCCCTAGAGATGTTCAAGAAATGTTTCAATGTTGTACTGTGGGACATGGTTTAGTGGAATATATTGGTGATAGGTGGACAGTTGGACTGTATGATCTTATAGGACTTTTCTAACTTTGGTGATTCTAGGATTGTGAGGAAGGATGCGAGAATTGAATCCAGAGTGATCACAGAAATGTAGTAGTGGAATTAGCAAAAAGAAAGTAAAACCCCACTTTTGCTGGCGTCTCAGTCATTGAGCAGGTAGTTAAATGTGCTTCTTCATAATTTGCCTTAAGAAAGTATTTGTCAAATGTTCTCCAGTTCAGTCTATTTGGAGGCATGTCATAGAATCATAGAATCATAGAATAGCAAGGTTGGAAACGACCTGCAAGATCATCTAGTCCAACCACCCTCCCATTCCTATTAGTACCACAAGCTACTAACCCATATCTTGTAGCTCCTTGTCCAGGCACCTCTTGAACACTGCGAGGGACATTGACTCCATCACCTCCCTGAGCAGCCATTCCAGTGCCTGACCACTCTCTGAGAGAAAAAGTTTTTCCTAATGTTCAACCTAAACCTCCTCTGGTACAACTTCTGGCACTAAGACATGTTACATTTATCCCTTGAGGATTTTGATCTTCCCTTTATTCATGAAGGCATTCTCAAAGCACAGAGTGACTATTTTCTGCATTTCTTCTTTTTTTTTTTTGCCCCAGATTTCACAACCCATGTTCAGGGCTCCCTGATGTACTTGTATCAATTCAACTAAATTACTCTCCTCTTCCACCTTGGAAAGTGTTTCATAAAACTATATTAATGTTCTTTAATCTTTCCTCTTGAAAAATCTTGTTTGTACTTGAAATTTTCATTATCATTTTAGTAATTTGGAAGTTCTTCAGGCACAGTCCTCTTACTCTGTTTTCCTGTATTGCAAAGATAAGATGAAATATGAAGTACAGAGCTATTTGCTTTTTTGTTGTTGTTGTTATTGTTGTGTTGTTTTTGTTTAATTGCACCATTTCAAATTCTTGCTTAATTTACTGTTCACTGTTAAACTGAAGATTGATTCACATTTCCTGTTATTTCCCATCACAGAGTGTGGGTATATCTCTTCTCCCTCTGCTCTGACTCCTTCAGTTCTTTTTCCCCCATATGTTGAGTTTCTAAACATTATATCATCAGAAGGCAGAAATAAAAGGGGAATTATGTGATATATAATCTATTAAGTGAATTAGAAGATCAACACAAAGAAAGATATTAAGTGTAAAAATAAAAATAATAGTAAGGTTTGGAAAAGGTGATAGTGAGTGGTGGGTCACCTGCTTGGTCAAGGTAAATGTCAGAGCAAACAAATGAGTGTGCTTCTGGAGAGAAACAATTTTGTATGGCTTGATCCTGTAGAAAACATCAAATTTGTTATTAGGTAATTGCTCATTGACAGCACAAACAGTAAGCAGAAGGCAAAGAAAAATAATATTCATAGTGTGATTTTTAGTCTGGTTATTAAAGACACAATCATAAAAAAAAAAAAAAAAAAAAAAAAAAAGACAATTTAACATAAAGGAAAGCTCTGAATGTAGAGTGGTACTATTTGTCTTAACAAACTGTCAGATCAGAACAGCATAGACATCCTGCCTGGACAATTTTCAGAGGTTAACATTGGATTTTGCATCTATTAAGAATACAGTAGAGAGAAATTTTCATCTTCTTCAGACATAACAAAAAAGAAAGAACATTGAAGATAAGTCTTCTAATCAAGATGCTATGTTTCATATTAGCGTTTCATTTTTACTGATATATCTCTGAGTCTGTGATACAGCATTACACTTGGCCAATCTACCCAATGGAATGTGAAAATGGCCCTTAGAATTATTTCTGTTACTAATAAAAACTTTGTTTCCGACTTCATTACTGAGTACTACATAATGAGTACTCACTGCTGTAGGACTTCTAATTATCTGTTTCTACATGCTGATAAAATTTCCAGCTTGATTTTTAATATTCTCTTTAAGAAATGCATTTATTATCTTGTACATTTACAAAGTATTTCAAACACGGTATAAGTCATGTTCCCTCATCTTACTGCAATACAATATCAATCACCACTGTATGTCTTTGATACATAACATAATTTAAAAAACAAAACAGATAAATGCTCAAGCTATAGGGCAGGAAAAGAAAGTGAGGGTTATGTTAAATGCTTTAATTTTATTTAAAGCAAATTTTGTCTGACTGTGAATATGTCATTGTGTAGAATATATAGGTAAGGAAAAATGAACTGGATAACCATGTAGTGCAATGAGTATATGGGAGAGATTATTTGATACATGAGGAAATCAGTCTGTCCAGAGGAAGAGGGTATGAGCCTGGGGGTCCTACCTGAGATTATAATGCTAAGGTTAACTGGACATGATCCTGAAAACATTGTGCATATTTTTAGGTTTATCATTTTTCTGTCTTTGCTTTCTCTTTATATGGTATCTGAGGAGCTAAACTGCTATTCTCTGTTTTCACTGGGAGTAGCAATAATGTGAAAGTGTCAGAAGATATTGGTTTCTGATAATAGCTTCCTAACAAGTTTGTTTTCATCATAGGATTTGTGTTGGGAGATATTCACAGCAAAAATATTGACTGTAGGATATCTCATTTATCCCTGCTTGAGAGCATTCACCCATAAAGACTGTGAAACAGTGCTTTTGAGGGCTATCATTCATGCACATGGGAGGGCAAATTTCGTGTTCTTTGCTACCCCCTGTGTAACCTATTTACGCAACTTATTAAAAATAGCATTTTTAAAGAAACCATTGGGCTCTGTAAAGTCATACAAATGTCTTTACTCAATGATGTGTTAGATAGCATTAGTTTTCTGCGTTCTAATTCATTTAGTGTCATTTTCCCCTTTTCATTGTTATTAACACCATTCTATGCCAAACACTGTTTGTTTCAAGACTGATTCCGATCAGAATAAAACCAGCTCTGTTACCTTAAGTGTAGATTTTGATGGTTGAGACTTTAGTCAAGCAAGATGATATTCAAACAGTTGTACACAATTCACCTGTGGGCTTTCTGACCAGCTGTGCAGCTTCAGGAAATGGGATTTCAGGATGCTTAAAGTATCCAACCCAAATTCATTGAGGAATTGCTGAGGAAAGATTAATGAGTAAGACACACAGGTTAGCTCAATCCCATTTCAGTAAGGAAGAGTAGTGGGTTAAATGGGTAATAAATGTTGATATTTGACATTACAACTGAATTCTCTTAAGTACAGATGCCACACTTGAGCCAGCCCCTCTCAACAAACATGTTAATGAACAATTTCAACTTGTGCAACTTCTAATATTTTACAACTTTTGGTTTGTAAGACTTCTTTCTCTAAAAGAATCCATGTATTTAAGGTTTATTCGTCACATTTTATCATCTTTGTCTTGTTTTCTTAAGGTGCATATGGGAAACATTAGAAGCTTTCTTTGAAATATGGAAAACATATACTTAAAACCCTATTGCACGTGAAAATGCTCTCCTTATTACTAGACCTAGGGAATTGAGTTTAACAAATGTTATTTAGATTTTAACACTCTGTACCATGCTAGGAATTGTCAGCACTGGCCAAACAAATTCTCTCAAACAAGCAAATGCAACACTGACATGCACAAGCAAGGCAATTATTAAATTGAATGTTGCTAATTTTAAATAGCTGCATAGCCCATGTAAGAAAGTATTTTTGCATTAGTGTGGTACAAATAATTTTAAGGATAATTCCTGAGTTATTAGGTGTTTTGTTTTTTTTTAAATAAATATATCTTTTGATTTGTACTTAGGTATGTTTATATTTTAGGAAAAAAAAAAGGAAAACATAGGATTTTGAACCCTTACATAGGAGAATATTTTCTTTTCCAACTTGAAATAGGATTTATCTGTATAATGAGTTTTTGAATGGAACTAAACGTAATTGTGTACCTTCTAATGAGAGTCAATATCTTTGAATTCTTTGCTCTGCGAACATACAAATAGTGGTCTTGCTTCTCTGCTGTGAAGTCTTTGGATTTGCAAACTAGCCTCCATAAACGAAATTAAATTTAAATACTTCACATTATTTTTAGATCATTACATCAGTAAACACAATGTTACTCAGATATTATTACTATTATTTTTTTAAATAGTGTTTTTCTTCTGTGGTTTATGAAATATGATTGTATCATTCTCTAAGATTTTTTACAAAGA